TAGCCCAGCCACTTATATTGTACTCTTGTACAGAGAGTTGCACAATGATTAAAAATTACTATAATTTGGTTTCCTTGTTCTAAAACCTGGAAATAAACAGGTAATTTGCAACCCACAAGCAAGGCGAAGCATATTTCACTTTCTGTGAAGAAATCAGTTTGGCAACAGTCATTCAATTTCTGGAATTTCAGTACTCTTGAGCAATGCACTTTGCAATGGTGTTTAACTGGATATTTGAAGTTCCTTCATATATGGTACCTGAAACAAACCATCATGGGAAAAATGAATCAAGGAAGCATACAAAATACTGATTAAAGCACTTTCAGCAAACACTCAACTGTGAAGGTTTGCAACCTGCAGTTTATTAGCCATTCAGCAGATACATAAAACTTTATCACAATGATAAACGTAAGGGAGGCTTCACAAAAACAGTCAACTGTTGTTAGTCCTTCGAATAGTTCAGACAAGAAGCACAACCATGAGTACTAGCTCTATTTTTATTGTAAGGTTACATTAACAGAATCTTGCAAGACTAAAAGTATTTCTCTCCTCCTCTCCTTTTACTCTCTGGAAAGCTAGGGAGGGTCTCTTCTGAAACGTTTCCCATGCCCTCCCTCCTTCTGTAGGCTGAGAAATATTTTACATGCTGGTTGTCCAGTCTGTGGCTCTTCCTCATATCTCCCAATGTCATACCCAGATATTATTACCTCTGTTCGATGAAATTGCTATCATATTTATTTCATAACAACCTGCATAAATTACTGTTCAGTGGAGGCAGTGCATATATTAATCAGTAAGTCATTTACTGATGAAACAATGATTAGGTTTATATATTGTTCTAAAGCATAACATGGTTTGATTTTGATTAAGCATGTTTCAGCTCAGCCATAAACCATGATTTTTAGAATTATGTGTGAACAAAACCATAATGGCTTGTTTAACAAGGATATGAATTAATTAAATGAAAGAAAGAAAAATAGATACCTTGTGTGTGAAACTAAGAGAAAGGGGTAGGATGTAATAGATCTGAATGAAGCTGGTATAATATTGTGGAACAGAATTGATGAGGATATTCAGGAAAGTGAAGGGGCTAAATAAATGAAAGGGCTAAAATGTAAGTTAAAAAGTATTAATTGGTGTTATTGTAGGTGTACATGAAAGCAGGAATCCATAAGTTAATAATAGTTCCACATTCTACTCCAGTGAATAGTGATAATGGAAAATTTTGAGATGAATTTTGGGAAAAACTGAACAACATTCTGAATGAATGTGAATACAGGTAAAAAAAAGATAATGTTACAAAAAATGAGGATGAGAAAAAAATACTGTATAATATGTGCAGAAAAAAAAGTTAGTTGGAAAGAATGCAGTCTAAGAAAGAAAGAGTTTAGTTTATAAGAGCCAAAAAACACGCTGAACAATTTTGATGGAAACATAGAAAGTGTTCTGGAAATAAGTGAAGAGGGGTAAAAGAGGAGTCTCCAGCAGAGGGACCAGAGTTAAAAATAAAAGTGATGAAATGATTTGAGATGAAACTGACCTGGTGTAATTCAGGAATGGTTATTCTAAAAGTGAAATATTTGTTTATTTACACATCACATTTATATAGGAATATGGCCCTCATAGAAGCAAGGATGGTTTGTAAGGTTACAAAAGTATGAAGTAATGTCATGTGGTATTAAGTAGATTTAACTATATATTTCTTTTTCTTATCTCTTGCCTTTAATTTTCTTTGCTTTGCTTTTCTTATTCCCTTTTTGCCTTCTGCATGATAGTAATAGGAAATAGCATAATAGATAAGTATTAAGTATATGTGTATGGTAGCTCATTCAATGCATGTATATGTATGTATGTATGTGTGTGTATGTATGTATATATATGTGTATATATGTATGTATGTATGTGTATATATATATGTATGCATATATGTGTGTGTGTGTACACACACACACACACACATGCATACAAAGGAAGATGACCCTGAACTTTAATTACTACTCCTCTAAGAAAACTAGAAGAACCTTATCAGCTTCCATTACCATATTTCAACTCACCTAAGACAGCCATCCCATTTTAAAGATAAATTACAGTGGAACCTCGGTTTACGAACTTAATTCGTTCTGTGACTCTGGTCGCA